AATAATGAGGAACGATCACCTATTCATTGTGATTGTGGCGACTTGTTGGTGGACCCTGTAGTTATTAAGAAAGAAACTGTTTTAAGCCTACTTCAGCATCTCAAACCTGATAAATCTAGTGGTCCTGATGATATTCATCCTCGGATTATGAAAGCCCTGTCAGATGTTATTGCTGAACCCTTAGCGATACTGTCTGATATGTCCCTGCGGCAGTCCAGATTGCCCAGAGACTGGAAAGACGCAATAATCAGTCCGGTGTATAAGGCTGGGAGTAGAGAGTTAGTTAGTAACTATCGACCCGTCAGCTTAACTAGTGCAGTTGTAAAACTAATGGAAAAAATTATTAGGATGGCTGTTATAAACTACGTAGAAAGACATGATCTTTTGTCAAAGGAACAACATGGTTTTCGAAAAGGTCTATCATGTTTGACAAATCTTCTCATTGCAAGAGAAGATTGGGCTGAGGCAAAAGATCGCAATATTCCTGTAGATGTCATTTTCATAGATCTAAGTAGAGCCTTTGATAAGGTTTCCCATTCTGGTCTTAAATTAAAACTAGAAAGTTTTGGAATTCATTATGCAGTCATAGACTGGGTAAGTGACTTTCTTCATGAAAGGAGACAAAGGGTAAGAGTAAATGGGGCTCTCTCATCGTGGGAACCAGTAAAAAGTGGCGTCCCCCAAGGCACGATTTTAGGTCCTCTTCTCTTTTTACTTTATATAAATGAATTACCAGCTATAGCTAAGTCATCCGTCCTACTATTCGTCGATGACATTAGGATTTGGAGACCCATATGTAGTATGTCAGACAGAATAGTTTTACAGGAAGATTTTAACTCATTAGTGGCATGGATGAATGGGTGGTCACTAGAAGTAAACCCTAATAAAAGTGTTGTGATGCAATTAAATAACTACGATGATTCGTATCACTACACAATATGTGGACTAGTGTTGCCCAAAGTAAGAAACTATTGTAGTGAACAGAACACTGGTTGGGGACAATCGAATGTATTTAAGCAGAAATTACAGACTATCTCAATAAATTCTGATTACCAAACAATGAACAGTCAATTTGCAAATTAACAACCAATTGTTTCAATCTTCACTGTTTCTTCTCTTATTCCATTGCTCATGCATTTTCCATACGATTGCGCTTCATTTCCATTCCTTTCTCATCGGTCTTCTGCCAAAATACATTCTATGTCTGACCCACACCATATACTACTTATATGGATATAAGTAGACCACACCACACTATAAAGATTTAGGAGTCATACTAAGTAATGATCTCAAAACAACCAGTCACTGTAAGGCTGCTGCTGCAAAAGGCTATAGGGTATTATGGTCTATTCGTAGATCTTTCCGGTATCTGGATGCGGAAATGTTTAGATTATTATACCCAACTTTCGTACGGCCACATTTGGAATATGGGATTCAAGCAACGGGGTGATCTAATATTGGCATATTGTATCCTGAACGATGACCTTGGTACTAACATGTCCTATCTTTTCCTCCCGTCTAGGGCTGATCATTTGAGAGGACATTCAAAGAAAGTCCAAAAACCGAGATCAAATCGTCTACGTCTGGAGTTTCGTTTCTCGCACCGAGTAGTGAATTACTGGAATTCTCTACCAGAACACGTAATATCAGCACCTTCTGTTGATATATTCAAGACGAGATTGGACCTCCACAGTGTAACAAACTACAAGGATTAAAATAGGTCACTAGACCTCCTATCCTTATTACTGAAGACTGAAGACATATGCTGTGATTATCTGTGCTTTTGTGTACTTGTTGCATCAAAAAGCATTCTTGGGCTACTTCAACATGAAGTATTTCGGATAAGGTTTGAAATTATACTCATTGTTATCTTGTGGTACTTTCTTTCCCGTTGGCTCATTGACTTGTTCAGTTATCCATGGTGGACAGTTATTCGGTCTGCGTGGTAACAGGTATGGTATAAACGAGAATGTAACTGAACCAAACTTGCCTTAAAATATGGACCATGCGTCTTCAACTAATGAGCTAGTATCTACTGACCAATCTGTCTTAGCAGTGCACACCTGAATGGCTGACATGTTGACATGCCTATAGCTCAATGCGCTCTAAAATAAAGTCATCAGCTAAGCAGATTGGGCTGCGACAGATGACACCGAGTATAAATGTATGGCCCCCAAATGCCCTGGTACGGCCGAGAGTGGGAAGAGTCCGCTCTCCCTCTCCAAATGCTCTCATATGGCCAGCGAATATATAGCCTCTGCCAGGGAAGTCCTACTCACTACCTTCTCGTGGCGGGGGTGTTGTTTACGAAAGTGAGAGGACAAAAAGCGAATGTCCGACGCTTTAACCGGATTAATGGACAAGGCGAGTCCACCTAGGGGAGTTGGAAAACCCTCATTCCAAACCAATGGTGCACATGGGCTCCATTATCCTGAGGGAACGAATGACGTACGAAAACCACCTGCTTCAGTTTGGGCACCTGGGCAGTATCACAGCCCTCACATAAATCGAATGAGATTTGTATGGAGCATATGTATCTGGTGCTTCGTTGTACCAATATTTATGTGTTTAATTAAATAAGTGTACGACATCTGATAGTCGGCTCACAGCTAACGAACTTCACAAGTTCCACTATCATGAGATTCGCAAGCACAGGAGTGGATATTTATGTTACTGGCTATGTATTAAAGGACGCTACCTCCCTTCCTACAATTATGTCTGCCACTTCTTAGTTAGTGGTATCCGGATAATTCTGGAGTAATGCCGAAGTTATGGACCAACCAAGTTTCCATCACAGCTACAATGAGTGGCTTTAATTTTTCCACTAATTCTCCTAGTTCATAGGATTTATTCCTTAGAGTACGGACATTTGCATATAAAACTCCTAGGGAGAATGGCCTATAAACACAGGCCTTGGTAATATTTGCTTCGAAGTCCTGATTATTCAAAAATCCACTGATGGGAGATTTTCATCACCATTTTGTCGGCGAGTTTCTAGTTCAGCTAGTGCTGTCTTCCTTCTTATTCTATCTTCTAGAGACATATCAAGTCTTATTTATTTATTTATTTGGACACAAATATTGGTACAACGAAGCACCAGATACATATGCTCCATACAAATCTCATTCGATTTATGTGAGGGCTGTGATACTGCCCAGATGCCCAAACTGAAGCAGTGGTTTTCTTAGGGGGCCTTTGACCAAAAGATCTGATCCACAAGGCAGTGGAGCACGGTAAGGAGATGCAGTCTCATGATAGCCGGTGACCAACGGTTGATTCATACGCCATTCGTTCCTTCAGGATAATGGAGCCCATGTGCACCATTGGTTTGGAATGAGGGTTTTCCAACTCCCCTAGGTGGATCCTCCACATCCACCAACCCGGTTAAAGCGCCGGACATTCGCTTTTCGTCCTCTCACTTTTGTGAACAACACTCCCGCCACGAGAAGGTAGTGAGTAGGACTTCCCCGGCAGAGGCTATATATTCGCTAGCCATATGAGAGCATTTGGAGAGGGAGAGCGGACTCTTCCCACTCTCGGCCGTACCAGGGCATTTGGGGGCATATCAAGTCTTACTCGAATGTCGGTATTGTCGTGACTACGAGCACTACTTAACAGGAGATCACGCTTCCCCGACCCTAAAATTGTCTTGAGGAGTCTATATGGTCGGAGTTCGACACTCGTCGGTCCTGTTACCTGTTCTTACCAATTTTTTGACCTGGGCTCTTTTAGAGTTATCTGGTAAGATGCTACGGATAGATTCTCCGAAATTTTCCAAATCATGTGCGTGTCTAATTTTGGGATCGGGATCATTTGATTTTAGCAAACTACTTACAATAATATTCAATGAGATTAAATTCTTATCAACCACGCCAGGGTGGAGTTCTCTCTTACTATCAGACTTTGGTAGTGTATTTTGTGACTCATAATTGGAGTTCACCAAATGGGTGCCACTTACTGTTTTTTTTCCTTTTACTTTTCTCCGTAATGCCGTCTATTTTTCGTCACTCAGGACAACCACACCGGGACTATTAGGAACGGTGACGGTTTTGTCCGGGTCTCCAGTTTCTGCTGAAGATGCATGACTACCCATATCAAGTCCCACGATATACGAGTAATGCTTTGAAGGCACCTGTGATCGAATACTAGTAGCCTACGAATATCCTCTACTCTTACCGGTCATGTTCCACAGCCATAAAGTAGGACGGAACGAACTGCTGCTCAGTAAACTCGTCATTTGTTTGGTAGACGGATATCTCGCCTACGCCATAAATGACTAGTTGGCGAAATCTAGTTGAGCCTTCTGTATCCGTGCTGAGATTTCGTCACACACCAGACCACAAGGACTGATGAGACTCCCAAGATAAGTGAAGCGGTCAACGCGCTCAACTATTTCACTCTCTATCATTAGTTCAGGTGTCGATGCAACCCAATCTTGAAGTAACATTTTGCATCTCGAGGGAGAGAATCGCATCCCGAACATGCCTGCATAGTTGCTTATAGTGGTCAGAAGACTCTGCATGTTGTCAGCGTCTTCACCGAGTAAAACTATGTCATTGGCATATTCTAAGTCAACAAGTGAGTCTCCTGGTAAGAGTTCAACTCCGCTAAATTTGGATGAGGAATGTGTTATTTTCTAAAAGCACGTTAACAAGAATGGAGACAGTGGACAGCCCTGACGAACACCACTTGAGGTAATCAGTTCTGATGACAGTTCGCCATAGGCTCTAACTCGACCAGTTTTGTTCGAGTAGAGAGCCTTTATAAGGTTAATGTACTTCTTTGGTACCCCTTTCAGTGACAAACACTGTCACAGAACCTCACGATCAACGGAGTCAAATGCCGCCTTAAGGTCGAGAAATACTACGATTGTGGGTCGTCTGAATGTGTGTTTATGTTCTAGGACCTGACGTAGGGTGAATATCTGGTCTGTACAACCATGTCCAGGTCGAAAACCAGCGTGGTTTTCTGTAGTTTGCTCTTCACGAGCTTTAGGCATGCTGAGACACCTCAACTTATTTCCGTTATCTTACCGTAGATTACGGAATGATCTAATATTGGCTTGTCGTATACTGAACGATGACCTTGGTATTAATGTCTTATCTTTTACTTCCGTCTAGGACTGATCATTTGAGAGGACACTCGAAGGAAGTTTAAAAACCGAGATCAAATCGTCTACTTCCGGAGTTTTGTTTCTCGCACTGAGTAGTGAATTACTGGAATTACCTACCAGAACATATCCCATTACCTACTGTTGATATATTCAAAACCAGATTAAACCTCCACAGTGTTACAAACTGCAAGGAATAATATAGGTCGATGGACATCCTATCCTTCTTAGTGAGGACTGAAGTTGTATATACTTCTTTCCCCAGCGGGTTGTGTCGAAAATTTGGCACACACTGCTTGAGTAGTTAATGTCATTCATCCCCTAAACTAGAGGGTCTAGTGAAGGTCTGTTTTGTTCATTCTTTTTTACTTACATTCTGAATCTCAATCCTAAGTTTCTTAAGTTTGCAATGCATTGTGTCATAGCTGACATTGATTTGTGCTATAAACCCTGACCCGAATTCATAAAATCTACTGAAATCTCCAGTTAAACTCTTAACTCCGACGTTTTTTGCAGTTCAAATGATATCAGTTGGTGACAAAAACTCTGGTTTGATAACGCTGTGGGGTTATAGCTCACAATACTATTTCGAATTATGATATATATCCTTCATTGAGGGTATCATTTGGGTTGTGTGTTAATTACCGTGGTCAATGCTGTTATATTCTTTGTGTTGTTAATTGTTTTATAACTAGGCAGAATTTCCTGATTGACTGACAAGTCGTCCAAGGTCGTCAGTTTATTAACTTTTACTCACTAATCTATGTCAAGAAAAGTCGACTTTCGCTCATGCATTAAGCTAAATGGTATGTGGATAGAATTATACTCAACGTTCTGATATTGTATTTGTCAAGTTCTTACAACTTTTAAGTGAATTATATGCAATTGAACTATAATTTAATGCATGATTATTGAAAATTTTATCCTTACAAACTTAAGTGTAAAATAGGTTCCTTTGGTCATTATACAGGTAAATTATCCTTAGTTTTTGAATGATTCTACTCTATGATTTTCTTTATTTCTTTAGGTCCTGCGAATATTATGACACTTAGCAGTGTAGCTGAGAATCTTTTCCAACATTTTAACATTGATACCAAACAGTGGTCATACTCACGCATAACTGTCGCGTTATTAGCTCATGAATCTTTTGGGATTGGTTTAGCTGTGGGTTTCTGGATAATATGCTATAAAAAGCAACCAATTAGGTATCTCACGTCATATGCCCCCGTTGTCATACAAAATATTTATTCAAAGTATGATCCTACTCTCTCCCTAACTCATGTTTCCTAGAGGATTGAATTGGTCAGCAAGAAAACTCCGTCAGTTACCTTTGTTCGTTTCTTCACAGGCAGATCCTAATCGGATTCTCATTAGTGGAGCAGAGAGTTACGTACTTCGTAAAATATTGTCACCCCTTACTATTCCTGGGAAGATATACCTGGCTGTTTTAGTTTCCGGTATTGTCTGTTGAAAACTGGAAGCAGTCTACGTTTTTGTACAAAGTCATCATTTCATAAAAATACATATGCCGTTATCTATTTATTTGTGTCACGTATTCACTAAATAACACTTCTTGAAGTAAATGCTGATAATTTTTATAAAAGTAATTTTGCTACATGGCTTACTTGCCTAACTCATATGAAGGATAGTTAAACTGGGTTTACGTTAGGACATACATGCCCCCGAATGCCCTGGTACGGCCGAGAGTGGGAAGAGTCCGCTCTCCCTCTCCAAATGCTCTCATATGGCTAGCGAATATATAGCCTCTGCCGGGGAAGTCCTACTCACTACCTTCTCGTGGCGGGAGTGTTGTTCACAAAAGTGAGAGGACGAAAAGCGAATGTCCGGCGCTTTAACCGGGTTGGTGGATGTGGAGGATCCACCTAGGGGAGTTGGAAAACCCTCATTCCAAACCAATGGTGCACATGGGCTCCATTATCCTGAAGGAACGAATGGCGTATGAATCAACCGTTGGTCACCGGCTATCATGAGACTGCATCTCCTTACCGTGCTCCACTGCCTTGTGGATCAGATCTTTCGGTCAAAGGCCCCCTAAGAAAACCACTGCTTCAGTTTGGGCATCTGGGCAGTATCACAGCCCTCACATAAATCGAATGAGATTTGTATGGAGCATATGTATCTGGTGCTTCGTTGTACCAATATTTATGTGTTCAAATAAATAAATAGGAAATGCTTGGCATGAAATATGCTTTATGGTGGTTCTATACTCATTTATACGGTAAATAAGCTATCTAGATAGCGTTTCATTTCAATATCATAAATTACATTCTCATCCAATTCATTACAAAACTGAATCAATAGTTCTTTATGCAAACATGTGACCTTCAGCCTTTGGCAGGTTTTGTCTAACCTGAAGGTACTTTGCCTAGAGGGTGTGTGAGCAAGAATTTGTAAAAGAGCAAGAAAAAGATTACCCGACGAATCAATGAGCTTATTGATACATTTGTGTTTAATAATGAAGGCAATCGACTGTCACCAATAAAACAGGCGCAATATTAAGCCAGTTTGATGATCGAAATTAGAATTGGTTGACGTTTGGTCTCTGATGAGCTACATATGTCCTATTTTGAAAACTTTCTGCGATGGATAGAATTATAAACAAATTTTCTACAAGTATGACTTAAGTTATTGAATGTTGCCGTCAATTAAGTATGACAGTTTACATTTTAAATCAAAACACGTGAAGTAAGTGTTTGTAAATGGTAGATAACTGCAATTGACCAGGGTCCCTGAATCTTATGATCGAATTGTCATGAGGAACAAAATATCGACCGATTCCTAATGCATACCATACAATGCAATTGAGCAATAAATAATCAGGTCAACTTACTAGGAAATAACGTCAAAAAGCATATTGGTATTGGGGCTTTGTCACACTAGATTACTGATATTAAGATTAACATTTCCACTTAAAAATCGGTCATCATATGGCCTAAGAATTTCAGGTCTGATGCACAAGGAGACTGATTAATCCTAACTGCGGCTGGTTTCTAATAACGGATGGAGGGGATATTCAGTGAATCGTAGTTTTTGAAGTCTCCTCAACCACAATATGACCTACAAATAGGGGGCCGAAGAGATTGTTAATCCGTTCGCTATCAATAACATGTTTACTTTAATCTCAATTGTGTTAAAGTTGAGAATAATCATTCACTGAAAATGATAAGCAGTGAAGTATTTGACAAGATAAACAGTTGATTGACTAGTGAGCCATAAAACTTTGTCCTGGTTATTTAACTGAATAAGATCGGATAACACTTTCGGCCTACAAGGGATTCGTGAAATGAATGCTGACTGGGATGAATGAGAAGATATAATCTTGAAGAAAATTACATGACTGTTTATGTTAATTTCGGTTAGAATTTGGTTAAAAGGTTCCAGTCGATTATCTCCAGCCAACTGACACAGGCTGAAAGTATTTCGACTTCTAGAGCTAAATGTTAAGTACACTCTGTGTATGTACATATGCCTGTTTACATTCGGTAGTTAATTTATCCATTTTAGGTTTAGCTTAGAATTAAATATCTTCCTCATTAATAATAAAAAATTGACTAGGTAAACAACAGTTCGGTATCGATTTCCAGTTAAATTGTTTTTTTTTTCACCTACCAAGCATAATTCAATTAATACAATGCTGTGTTCTGAAACTAGCTGTGAGATTCAGTAGTTTACAAACATTGTAGCTAGGTTGTTAAGCCTAAATAAACAAAAATCATCTAGTAATAGTTTTCCATACGTAATGTGTCGTTTGAGGGAACTGAAAGGTGGTTGACTGGAGGTTGTCGACAGGGAATGCTAGACCTGGGTTTCATGTTACCGTAGGACTTGTCACCAAGGTGTGCCTGTAATCTTTAAGGTACTAGTACCCACTGACGGATTCTATCTAACCTAGCTTCATAGTTTGGGAGGTTAGTAATGAAATATTCGGGTTGCGACTTATCTCCTGTAGGACTGAGATATTTACAATTAACTGACTTCTAAAATGGAGGATTACAGGTACTGTGGAATATTTGCAACATGTGTACCAAAACCAGTGAATTCATCATCACTTGATATAAAGACTAAAGAATATTATTCTATAGATTGTTTGTATACCTCAAAGCTTACATTCATTGACAAGTAATTTGAGTGCTAATTAATTTAATAGATAGCTTCACCACTATTGGTGAGGAAATCTCCAAATTTCAGTACGAAGACCGATCAATACTTCAGTCAGTCAGTCACAACGTAGAACTTCGTACGTACGTACATCAGTTCGAGTTGCCATACCACATTAGCACAGAGATGCAGTTGTCGATTCAAATCCCATAGTGGTAGAAGTAGTAGGAGTATAATCAGAAATCCAAAAGATTAGGGTTTGAAGAAATTATTGAAGGAGTATAGTACAGTGAAATAAATTTGGAAAGAGAAAAACATAAAGACATGAGGAATTCAGGAGATTAGAATTTGGTAGAACACAAAGAGTGGATGCATCTTCGCCATTGCAAACGATTTTGAGCCATGTCATTCAAGGTCTCTAACCATCGGTTGCTGTCATCTCGCGAATCCCAACCAGGTAGTCTACACCTACCAACGTGGCCCAGTCCACTTGTCAGTGACTTCATTGATTTGTGCCACGTTTTAGTCTGGCCGCCCATAGCTTTCTTCCAACCCGACCGTTGCTGCTACCTTGACGTGGTGGTCGGGCTTGCCTATCGTGATGATCCAATCGAGCTATGCTGGCTGGAACAATCGTTCCTCAAGGTCCTACCATGCCAGACAGGTCGGTTGAAGAGCGGTGAGACTAAAAGCAGCAATCCCAAGGTCCGGAGGCGAAGTCGTACTGCTGACTGTACAGAGGTGTGAAAGCAGTAAGGTGTTTCCTTCAGACAACCAGCATGACAGCGATGCTGCCTTCCCACAAGGAGGGGTGGGGTTAGAAAAGGTCGACCCTAAAAATGCACACCTCGCCTTATCCCACGGATTTCCGTCTCCGGCGGTAAGGACTTTTGAAGAACGGAGCTAACACATCAAAAATCCCCCACAAAAAGGCCGTGCGTGACCGGCCTCAAGCAGATGTCCCTTGGGCTCTGCGGTCACGCTCCCAGGTCGTTAAGACCAACACTAATCCAACTTCTTTTTCAGGTCCCTCAAGAAATACCCTTCCACGGTGTGGGCAGCCGGGAAGTGATACTAGCCCTCATACCCTTAACTGCACACAAGACCAAGTTGGTCGCTTTCAAATCCGATCAATACTTAACATTAATAAACTAAGTACTTCAGTAAACAATTGTGACTTTCATCGTCATTCAGTGGTAGCCTGTAACTGTTACCTCTTGTGGTATGGATGTTTTATTGATAAGCTATGAGAAATGTTAAAGTAAAAAATATCGTCTATTAAAATTCGACAAGAACCTGACACATGAAATTGGTCACAACCCAATGATCAATCAATTTTATATACATCTCAGTCCTACATGAAGTCAGTCACGACCAAGATAGCTCAGTGGGAACGTTTGTGATTGTAAAGCTGGGTGACGCTGGATCGAATCTGTTCCCTTAAGATTACTGGTACACTTTGATGACGAGTGCCAAATAACACGAAACTTAGGTCCAGAGCATCCTGTCAACTGTCTCCAACCATCACCTTACAACTACAATCGCTTTAAATTTGAAGGAGTTAAATATATGTAGTGATGATGGTAAACGCCCTTCCCTATTTTCTGGTATCTGCCCAAGTCTGTCTTTAGATAAAACTGACAGTTTGTTTGATATCTAGGTTTTCTTAATTAAAAACTACTATTTCAAAACCTTCAGAGATCCAGACTAAAATTCAATTGCTCCCCCTTGTATACAGAATTTAGTCTAATCTAACGAAGCAAAGCTAAATTTGATTAACTCAAAAAGGACAAAGAAAGCAAATATTCGATATCGAAAATAAACCAAACAAACCATAAGGGGTTATATTTAACTCATAGACCTTATTCTCATTGGTTAGCGGTTACATTTTGTATAACCTTAACTAAAAAGCATTTACCATTTATTAATCAATAACTTAATGTATGAACAGTCTTTAAATATTGTAAGATGAAAATTTTATGACAAACAGCTCGAAATAATTTTATGAGTTACATATTTCCCTGTTCATAAAATAGACTTTTTATATCCAACCCTTTACTAAGTTCGCAGAAGGAAACTTTCTTATCAAACATAACAAAGTCGCCGCCACCATTTTGATTCTCATCAGTTGTAAGCTGAACCAATAATCTACCCGAGATTGGTGAAAAAATCTGTTTGGAAATATCAACCCATATGATCTCGAGCTGTTTTACTGACTTGTCTTTATTTGAAATCTTTCTATATTCCACAAGGGTTAGTAAAAACTGCTTACTTAAAAGTCGGTGTAAGCTTCAATTACACTATTTTCTTTCTTTGATTTATAGTTTAAATTACAGACACATCGATAGAAGCGAATGTCCGGCGCTTTAACCGGGTTGGTGGATGTGGAGGATCCACCTAGGGGAGTTGGAAAACCCTCATTCCAAACCAATGGTGCACATGGGCTCCATTATCCTGAAGGAACGAATGGCGTATGAATCAACCGTTGGTCACC